AGCTTACGAATTTTAATGAAGAGGCTTTCAATATAAAGAGTAAATGTGAGGGTAGATGCCATGTTAACACCAAGGTACCGGAAAAAGGATACCTCATTGGGCAGAATGTCACTGGATTCTGGACTGGGAGAGGATCGCAATCGAAAAAAAACACTGAGCTGACTTCTGGTCGTTCAGTAGAAGGCCATTTGTTGACGAACATGCTAAGACGTGGTCCAGGCCATCTTTCAGTACCGGGGGATGTATCTAACTTTTGAGATGACGGCCAGCAACCATACCATCAGCATATTTAATGTATGGACATTCGTTGCCAATTATCACGTTTTGCCCTCTGTCCTGAAAAAGTGACATTCATGTAAACTGCAGAAAGGCTAACGGAGACTTTAGCATGTGTAGTCGAGTAGTTTTTCTGTAATCTTTGGCTTGTAATTCTTTACGTCGACCGGAAATGCACCATGTAGGTACGAAGTTCTGTATTTTTTCGAGTAGATTCGGGTTCCTCCTCCGTTTTAGACTCTGGTCAGTGATCTCTCTGCCCCTGTAGGTTTTCGAATTATATTCTAAACGTCCCCTCTGCATTTTTAACGTTTCCTGCACTTTTGACTCTTTGCTCAGACACTCTTTACAGTTCCATTCCTTTCCTCGTGTTGCTATCAGGGTCGTCCGGAAAACCAGTTCGCGTTGGCACGCATTTCTGCCGAGTACGGTGGGTCTATCCATCCTGTTAGCAGACTTGAGATGATTCAGAACGCGAGAAAGAAGTCTCCTCCCTCCTACCATCCCTGCCCTGTCGAAGAACGGCTGACGCCCGCAGAAAGCACCAATAGGAAGCTGGTTTTGGCAAACAAAACCAAGCTGCTGAGGTACTCGGTAAGTGTGTGGCGCCTTTTCGTTCAATCGTCCTTTCTAGTGCAAAGCATTTCCGGACGGGTCTCTTTTGAAATTCAAAAGGCGATTTCTTTTAAGAGAATGAAAAGTCGTATGGTTTCTGAGAATGCGTTGCTTTTTTTATCGGATTTACGGCTATCACATTTTGAGTCAGGCCTCGTGAACAACATTTAATTGACCTTTAATATGCTTATTGATATGGATACCAATTAACGACCCGAAATTCGTCGAATTCAGAAGTCAGGCACCCATAGAATATCACAACGTTGCCAATATTATCTATTACTGCAGGTCGTTTGGATTCAGTACGTTTGTTAGTGAATGCTCTTTTAACGAAAGGCTGAAAATGTTCGAACTCTTTGTTACCTAGTCTGTTATTGGTTCAATTATTTTGAAATTCCACTTCCTATGCATGCACTGGAGAAAGTCCCTACGCAGGAGCATATATTGTGAGCTCTGCTCTTCTCTGTTTAGACAAAGGTAAAACGTTCTCTGGGACCAGTGGTTTATTTGTCCGACGTTTCGAACTCTATCGCGAGCTCATTGTCAAGGAATGAAAAAAATGTACAGCTCACTGCCTATTTATCTCAACTCTACCGGGAGTGACCTTGCCCTTAAACTCTGCTCTCGATCTGTTCTCTGTGTGGTTTGCACTTCTTCTGGCATTCGAATGCAGTACACGACCAAGGATGCCCTCATTGCCCATTCTTATGCGTTTTTCATTGGTACCATCCTAGTAAAAACTCTTACATTTTTTTTTCCAGTACTAAGGTGGAGTCAGTGGTAACACTGTCGATTCGATAAATTATGAGGTTAAAGTAGAAAATGCTTGCGACTCATTGATTAGCGTTTACTGATTGCTAACAGAACTCACTCGTCCCGCTGTACCTTGGGGCTCATTCTGGAACCCCCCGCCAGCTGCCACACAGCGGCTTGTAGTCTAGACAAAGACAGACGATACTCATTTCTGGCTCGCTAGTCATCATCAGCCAGCCATGCCCGACCCCAAGTGGTGCCTCTCC